TCACTGGAAGGACAGATCCTGAAGCGAAGGCTCCAATACTTTGGCCATCTCATAAGAGAAGACTCTCTGGAAAAGACCCTGATATTGGGAAAGTGTGAAGGCAAGAGAAGGGGACAACAGAGGACGAGATGGTTGGACAGTATCATCGAAGCTACCAGCTTGAATTTGACCCAACTCCGGGAAGCAGTGGAAGACAGAAGGGCCTGGCGTGCTCTGGTCCATGGGGTCACGAAGAGTCGGACATGACTTAATGACTAAACAACAAATCTGTGGATTGGGTGTGGTGGTTATATTATTGTTTATTTTACTGTTGGAAACTGGCCAGGAGTAGGGTGAACCCCACTAGATGTAGTGGTATAAAAATAAAGTGGATAGGGTGAACCCCACTAGATGTAGTGGTATAGAAATAAAGTGAAAAATAAATAAATATTTAGTCTTCCTCTTTTCCTGCTGCCCTCATCTTTTCCCAGCATTATTTTTTCCAGTGAATCTTGCCTTATCAGGATGTGCCCAAAGTATGACAGTCTCAATCTCACCATTTCTGCCACCAGAGTTAGTTCAGGCTTGATTTGAGCAACGACCCACTATTTTGTCTTTCTGGCAGTGCAGGATATCTGCAAAGCTCTCCTCCATCACCACGTTTCGAATGAATCCTTGCTTTATATCCCTTTTTTTCAAAAAAAGGCTTTTAGGACTAGTTTTACCTCCCTTTTAGCGTACAGTATGTTGAACGTCCAGCTAGGAAAAGCTCACGTCCCTCTGAACAGGTCAGTCTCACACTCATCTGAGAGCAACCCCCCCCCATTTAAACATACTGGGGGTTCTGCCGGAACATGATACAACTCCCTACACACCTGTCTTTCCTAGATTGCGACCGGGCGCCGCAATTTTATGAGCGCGAATTCAGGGAGAGAGAGGCGTCGTCGACCAACCCTTTAGGATGGGAGGCAGGGGTACCAAAGGATCCGGCGGCGGGCTTCCCCACGAGATCGCCGCCCCGGGATCCAGGCTGGCATAAATCCCCTAGAGTCGCACCACACACCCCCCCCGCCACCCACGCCCGGCGTTTCGGGAGGAAACGCGAAGCCCACTTCAAAGGGCGCCAACGTTCTCTCGTGGAACGCCGAGACTTGTCCCAACGTTCTGAAAGGAAGCGCGCCGGCCAATGAGAGCCCAGGGCTGTGGCCACGCGCGCCTGCCCCGCCTCCTCGTCTCCCACCCACCCCCAGCCACCCACGTGCCTTTCGCTTTGTATCGTTTCCTCGGTCGTGCGGGGCCGGCGGCGCCTCGCCTTCACCTTTCCCTTTCGGTTTCCTTTTCCGACCCCCGGCCGGAGGAGGAGGAGGAGGAGGAGGAGGGGGCGGCAGTCTTCCCCGGGGATGGCGGCCAGGAAGGACGCGTCGGCCGAAGATCAGGCCAGCGAAGACTCCGAAGAGGGGGAGGAAGAAGACGTGGGCTTCTCCGAATACGACTCCACTTGGGAGGAGGAGGATGAGGATGACGACGGCGACGAGGAGAAGGAGGATCGGGCACAGCTGGAAGAGAAGCCAGGGAAGAAAGGGCGGGAGGCGGCGGCGGCGGGCGCTAAAGAGAAATCGAAACCTCAGGAGAAGCCGGGCAGGGGGTCGCCCAGCGCCACGTGGGCCTCCGGGATTCAGGTGAGGGTCCGTGTGTCCCCTTCCCTCCCCCGCCCCAGAAACACTTGCCTTGGGGGGCAGCGGGCGAGTTGGGGGTGGGGAGAAGGAGGCGGCGGCCAGCATCCGATCTCTTCCGGGTGCCTGCAGAGAATCGCCCTGGTGTGTGCTTGGAATATAAAAGAGGTGGGCATTCGGGTTCGGGGATGGGTGGTTGGCCTCGCCGATCCCCACCTTCTCTCCCGGCACGCGTGGGATCGTGGACCCTCTGCTGCCTTGAGCGATCTGGTGGTGGTGGGGGGCCTGTGGAACCTGGCTTGTCTGCCAGAGCCCCCTCCCATGCCCGCGCCCCAGAAAAGCGCGCGCGCGCGCACACACAAACACACACACCCCTACCTCTGACGAATTTCCCCGAACTGAAAATATTTGCGGGAGGAATCGAATGTGAAAGTGTTGAGACGATCCTCTTGGGAGGAAGGGCGGACCCGGGGGTTGCTCCCCTCCCCCCTCCTAAACGAGGCACAGGCTGTCACTCATCAGTTTAATTTGTAAAGGCTAAATTTATCAAGCATTCCCAAATCTGTGGGAAGCTTAATTATGCTTAATTGACTTGTGCTTTGATCTTAAGTACATGCGCTGGTTATAGGAAAGAGGTGATGTACAGACCCAATAGGGTGGGCCTCACTCTGTATTATTCATTTTTCTTCCTTCAACATTGTTTCCTGAGTCACCCAAAGAGTCAAGGGTCAGCCGTATTTAAAGAGGGATTTTGTGCCCTTGTAGGTGTGCAATAATATTTTTTTAAAGTATTCTTTGCACGTAGAGAGATAGGACTGAAGGAAGAAAGGTTCTAGTGCGGCGCACTCATCATTTGCTGTATGCAGTGAGGTTTCCAACTAACTCCCCTTGTTCCAAAGGGAAGCATTCAAGAATATTTTGCAATCTGAAGACAATGCTATGATTCTTCTGTATGTATCAAAAAGTCCTAAATTCCAAGTCAAATGTTCCATTCATTGCATTTCTATCCAACCAGGTCAGTGTTACCTGTCTATGAAAACTCTATGCCATTGAATGTTTTATTTTATTTTATATGTCTAGAGCCTACCTCTCTATTAATAAAAAGAATCCGTCAAAATAACTATAATAATAGGCAAAAAAATTACACAGTATCATAATTTAATAGTGAGAGCGGTCAATCAGCTGTTTAAATCAGGGGTGCGAAGTGCATGCCTATCCTTTCAGAACTTCACCTTTCATCATCCTTCACTATTGAGTACTTTAGCTTGGGCTGACGGGGAATTTTAGTTGAGCGGAATATCACTAGTTAAACAGTTAAATAAATGTGTTTGGAATATATTTGTTATTTTCACCATATTTGGCTGAATGCCTCTGATCTTAGCCAGGTGTGAAAAGTCACACCATCAACAAAAGTGTGTCCAGGAAACAAAAAATTTCTGTTTTTTGGGGGGGGGGTCATGTATAAATATTTGTTACGTAATCCTACTCTTATGTCTGAAGAAATGGACTTGTTCATGAAAGCCCACATTAAAATACAGGAGTTAGTTCTTCAGGAGGTGCCCTCTGTAGACCCTAATGGACACCAAGACAACAATTTTCTGAAGGGTCTGGCTCTCCTGGTCATGCAGCCAGGGAATTCAGATGACATCTATATTTGTTTGGTAATATATTTGACATATCTGAGTTTGTGACATTCTTTCTTAATGTCTTTTCAAACAGTTTGGAAAAAAAACTTCTGGGAGATGGCCAGGAGTTCTTTACAGCTTAGGGAAGAGGGAATTGTATATCCAACAAAGTTTTTATTGTGTAGGAGAAATAAAAACTAAAGCTTAAATTTCACTGATTCATAGGTCAGTGCCAGTTTGAGAATGCTGTCAAGCAATCTTGTTGTAGATGCAAAATTACTTTTGGGAAGCTCAAAAAGGTTAGTGTTGATGGTGCAAAAGATTTGTATGTGACTCATGTGCAGGTTGCATTCCCCATTATAACTACATGATCGTGCATCTCTATTGTGCAGCAGGGGGAAAAAATCAATGTTCTACAAGGCAATTCTAAAAATGTTGAGAACACTTATCAAAAAAACAGCCCTGATGATTTGTGTTTGGGTGAGAAGTGGTTAACTAATGCAAAAAGGAGTCACCTTCTTGGATTTTCCCTTTCTTGATGTCTCTTTGTGAATGGCAAAAAGGGTACCCCCAAAAGGGTACCTTGTAGACCATCTTGACTGCTGCCATTGGTCTTGTCAACAGTCAGGCTGCCCTTGGCTATGTAAACCACAGCATCCTTTTTTCATGCTGGCAACGTGGGCATGATGTTGTGCAGAAATATCAGGCCGTTTCCTGGCTTTTTGAATTGTGGGTACAGAAGCATAAAATCCCACCTTCATAAACCTCGGATTTTCTGAAGATTTGAATTTTGTGTTAACAGTAATAATGGTGTGCCATCAAATCAATTCTGATTTGCGGTGACTTTTTTTTAGCATTTACTTGGTAGGGCATACTCAGAAATGGTTTACCATTTGCTTCTGGGACTGCAGCATGCCGAAAGCCACACAGTTACTGTTACACACAAACGGGCGCACGTGTATATGTACCTAAACTGTTTCCAGCTTCGTGGGCCATTGTTTGTGCAGGCCAGACAGAAGGTCACTTATGATTTAATAAGTTGAAATGTTTGTCTTGCATGAAGTCAAATTGAGTCAAGTTTCTTTCACTGTGAAGCCTTTCTGATCAGGAGTTGATGTCTTCAGGTGACATCGCATCCCGTGTGACTTCCGCTATGATAATCCTCCTTAGGATGCTTCCTGTTAAGGAAAGAAGATGATAGCTCAAGCAAGATCAATGTCATCTGTATAGTAACTCATTGTGCATGCATGCATCAAGTGCCTCCCTGTTCCCCGCAGAAAGTCTGCTCAATAGGACCTCCAGCAAGCCAGGGATGTCCAATGCGCTGCACCCATGGTACATACCAGCACTATGATCCCAAAGAAAATACTGGCCACAGTCTGTAGGGCAGGGTGCTCAGCTTCTCCTTGTTTAAACAAGCAGCGTTTGGGGTGAAAGCCACATCCAACGTACTTGATGGAGTCAGTGTTGACATTGCCTTGAGACCTCCAATCTAGGCTCTCTCGCATCCTTTCACTGAGTTTCCATCACTTGGTGCGCAAGGAATAGAAAAACAGCAACACTAACGGACTCTGGCATTCTGGGCCATGCCTTCTTATCTTCCAAAGCTTTCCCCTCCATCAGAGATCAGTTGTCCCTCATACGTTTGTCTTCCAGTTCCAAATGTAATTATTTGTAGGAGCAAGCTTTCAACAACTAAGGAAAAGCAAAGCGTGCTGCTTATATACCGCCCCATAGTACTTCAAGCATTCTCTGGGCGATATACAAGTTAATTATGCAGGCTACACATTGCCCCCCCCCCCAGCGAACTGGGTACTCATTTTACTGACCTCGGAAGGATAGAAGGCTGAGTCAACTTTGAGCCGGCTACCTGGGATTTGAACCCCAGGTTGTGAGCACAGTTTTGGCTGCAGTACAGCAGCTTAACCACTGCGCCACGAGGCTTCGGGTGGCTTCTTGTTTGTATCACTTGTATTTTTAGTAGACACTTGTGACCTCTGTTTCAAAATACTTCTAATTTTAGATGTGTGCCCTCCATACTACAATTTCTCTATAAGAGCAAATGCAGGGCAACACTATACATTCTTGCTAGCAGCAAGTGGGTGAAAAATTGCTTCTTATGCGATGCTAGCTATAAAGATATGCCATTTCCCCCTTTAGTGTTTCATTGCCATTTTGAAACAAGATGGACAAGGTTTTTAAACTATGCAGCTTGCTGAAAAGACACATGTATTTTGTACTTTCTTGTCTTCCTGCCCTTCTGCTTCTGTACAGGGAACTCAACAGCTTCTCTATCAAATATAAAGGAATAGTTCTGAAAAAAATAGCATGACTCTCACTAAACTTTCAATATTGAATCTCAGGGATTCCCATTAGATAGAGGCTCAACCATAGGCAGTAGTGAGAGATTAAAAATAGAGATGGGGAATATTCGTATTCATATACAAATACAAATATCCCTGCACAGGTGGTGTTAATGAGGGTCCAGCCTCATGAGGCTGGATGGTCCACTCACTGATCCGACATGCACCATGTGATTCTACCAATGGCTCCGCAGCACACAATCCGCTCGCCACTCTTCAACTTTGCAGCAAGGCTGGGCCTCCTGCCAGAAGTGGCGAGCGGATCATGCGGTGCGGAACCTTTGGTAGAATCGCGCCGTCCGCGTCAGATTGGGTGAGTGGACGGTCCGGCCCCATGAGGCTGGACCCTCGTTAACGCCACCTGTATGGGGGTATTTGAATACGAATATTTCCATCTCTAGTTCTGATTTGTCAACGTCAAGAGGCCAGGCATTTCTAATGTTGTTTTTAAACTCTGTCCTATCTTCAGGAACGACGAAAGGCAAACCATTCCTCCATGGGGTTTAGAAGATGTAAGGTAGGTGCCAAAAACGGGAGGGGTGGTGTGCCATTCGTAGAGGTGGGCTTTGTGTTTTGTCAGTGCTGTTCTGTAGAGACGGGCACAAAACACTGTTCAGCAGCACCCACACAGGTGTTCCGTAGGCACCGCACACTTCCTTCCCTGCCTCCTCTGGGGGATTGTTCTCTCGCCGGCAGCAGCACCCTTCCCTGTTCTGCCTCCTCCAGCAGCCATCCACTCAGATAAGGAGGCAGGGCAGGGAAGCCCATTGTGCTTCCTCTGAGTGGGTGATCACTGTGCAGTTGCTGGGATGATCCATGATTCATGCCCATCTCTACTCTTCTGTGGCCTTTTCTCTTGGGCCTGGCACAGATTGATAATGGTATTGAGCATTTTTGATAGTCTCACCATTTCTTCTTCCTTGGAACCAAAATATCAGTTTGGAGTAGCAAAGAAAACTCAGCTGAAATTGCTTCTATAAATTAATAACAATTGTGTGCTGTCAAGTCACTTGTGACTTACGGCAACCCTTTTCAGGGCTTTCCAGGTAGATAGTATTCTGAAGTGGTTTCTCATTCCCTTCTTCTGGGGCCACCCTGGGTCTGTGCAGCTTGGCACCAGGCTGGCTCTTCTCGGATGCACAGGGTGGAATCAAACTGCCAACATCTGGCTGCACAGCCAGAGACCTAACTCACTTGAGCTATCCAGCCATTACAGGCCATCAGCATTATTCTCAAATGATGGAGTTGCATGTGTATGTCACCTTCCAAAGTAATTGGTTCCATTGTCATACTGCTCTAACACTTAAGATGTTTTTCCTAATGTTCAGCGTAAATCTGACTTCCTGTAGCTTGAGCCCATTATTATGTGCTCTGCAATCTGGGATGATTGAAAACAGCTCCTGCCCCTACAGAGAGGGAGTAATCAAGGGAGATGGGAATAGACAGTCCTCGCTAGTGATATTCACAACCTTTTAAACTTACTATTATTGTATGATTTTAATGGTTGTGAGCCTACTTGGGTACCCTGTGGGGAGAAGGCAGCAGATAAATAATATAAACAAATAAAAATGAATAAAAGTGTTTGGGGGCTGTTCAGGCAAGAAGTATTCCTAAATTGGATTTCACTTTTAATGGAGCTCATTTAAAAACGAACAAATCAGATGTTCCTTTTGACTGATGCCTCATTCTCTTCTCCAGGGTTTAGAAGAAGCTGAAGTCGAAGAGCAAGAAATGTGGAATCTGAGCTTTTACAAAAATGAGATTCATTTCAAGCCTCACGGTACAGCTTTCAATTTTGTTTTCAAAAAGAAGTGCCACCTGTCAACCTTAGTCTGCCTTCCAAGTCTTCCAGCCCGTGAAGTTGGATTCAGTTGTATTGGTTAAAAAAAGGGATTTTAAAAAAAATGTTCCTAAGAGTCAGAAAATGACTGAAAGCAAAAAGTACAGATGGTGGCTGTTTCCCTCCCCGTGTGAATATCCCATGACCGATATATTGCATATCGTATGGTTGTTTCCCACCCACCCGACCCTTAGGAGTGAAACATAAACTGCACAGACAAACCATGACACTTGGTTTCTATAGTTACAGCATTTCCTGAATCCTATCGGGGTCCATGTAAGTTTTGTGCAACTCTGCAGCTAATTGCAGCTAATTGATGAAAGGCCAGGGTACATCTTGGTTGTGCCATTGGGTGGTAACTTAACTGAAACACACCTTGGCACCACAGCAATTAGCTGCAATTAGCCACAGGAAGGAACACAAACTTTGCACATACTCCAGTAGGAATCTGGCCACTACATATTTTGCAAGTTTGAAGTGTGAACACAAACTTTGCACATACTCCAGTAGGAATCTGGCCACTACATATTTTGCAAGTGCTTTTTGAAGTGTTCCTTGACATAATTTTGTAGGATGTGCGGTTGAATTTTAAGCACTTTAAAAATAATAATTATAGTAACCCGCAGCCAGCGGCCACTAGACAAAGCTGGTTCTTTTCATGTAGGTGAATGCAACGAAGTTGGGATATTGGCATTTGACCACTTATAAAAGCAAAGTGTTTTGCTTATATACAGTCCCATGGTGCTTAAAGCATTCTCAGAGTGGTTTACAATTTAATTATACAGGATACATATTGCCCCACGCACCTTGACAAGCTGGTACTCAATTTACTGACATCAGAAAAATGGAAGACTTACCGTATTTTTCCGTGTATAAGACTATACTTTTGTCAAAAATCTTTAGACTAAAAATTGAGAGTCATCTTATACATGGAAGTAAACTGAGGAGAGAACAAAAACAAGTGGAGGGGAAAGCAGGGTTCAAAGCGATTCTGCCGTGCTTTTATCCCTTTCCCCCTACACTTGCTAAGCCCCACTTAGATTTCTTAATTTTGGATTAGAAAAGTGGGGGTGTCTTATACACAGAAAAATACGGTAAGTCAACCTCAAGATGGCTACCTCTTATACACGGAAAAATACGGTAAATCAACCTCAAGCTGGCTACTTGAGCTTCAGATTGAGTCCAGGTCTTGAGCAGAGTTTTCACTGCAGTACTGCAGTTTAACCACTGCGTCCCGAGGGTCCTTATATATCTGCATGCCTTTTTGTCCTGTCCCATAAATTATATACAGAAGCATGCATAAACAAGCCACTGGTGTACTTTCACTGGGCAGAGGGCCAGCATTGCAGAAAATTCCTTCTCTCCTACAAAGTTTTTTCCTTCTTCCTTCTTGCAAAGCTTCTGGAGGCAAGCAAACAGACTTCTTTATTTAAAGAGATTGGGTGGGGGGAGTCTGAGATCAGAGTTTAACTAAGCCAACCATTACAAGTTAGCCGACTGACATTTCGCATTAGCTATTTCTAAGTATTATAATTCACATGTGCTCTATTTCTAGGCCTTCACATTGAAGACCTCCTCGAGAAATGGCAGAATGACTATGCAACTCTGGAAGAAAACCACTCCTATATTCAATGGTAAGTGGCCCCCATTCCTCTTCACAATGGCACATGGAAAAGTCTTCTTGGTCTGCCTCCCGATTTTGGACAACCCCCCGTGTTCACTCCTCTCCCCCTCTCAACCCTGAACCAAATCATCTTTTGGAGGATCTATAATACATTTCATTTGGTTGGGCCTGTCAGGAAAAGGCTGGTGTTTGGCAATGCATTGTAAATAAATATTTCTACAGGTCTGCTCTGTTTTGCATTGCATAAAAAAGAAAGAAAAAGAAAGAAATATGAATGTATAGTTACATTCCTAGGAGCCCCTGCAGGTATCACTATCTGTAAGTGTGAGTCACTTTAGAATGATAGAAGGGACACCTTGTCCTGTTCTTGGACATAGGATTTCTTTTGTCTGTCTCTCCCCAAAGATCTCATATTGGTAGCAGGTCAGACTAGTCCAAAAAATTGCCCAGGCTTTCTCGCTCTCATTTCCTGCCTTGCAGACCAACACATAAGGATTTGATCCCTTTTGTCAAAAGGCACACGTACCCCGATTACTTACCAAGGGCTCTCAAAGTCAAGCCAGTATGGCATCCTCCTTTGGTTTGGGACCCTGACCCTAAATCCTTCCTCCTGTGTAGTGTGGTTTGTCCTTGCCTTCGTGATGAAATGGCTCCCAGGCTAGGAAGTTCGACTATTAGATGTTAAAAGGATGGTGTCTCTTACCGCACGTGACGGATATCCTCTCCTTCGGCTGTGCTGGGCAGGGCGGCTGAGAGTTGCAATACAAACCACATCCAGTGGACCACATGTGGATTCCTCACCTCGGACAAAATACAGTGGTGCCGCATAGCGATGTTAATCCATTCCAGGATTAACGTCGTTATCCGGATTCGTCGCTATGCGGGGGGGAACCCATAGAAACGCATAAAACTCCTGTTGGGGAAAACTTCACCGCTATGTGGGGAATCCTCCATCCGGCCGCCATTTTCGCTGCCCGGTAAGCGAGAGCATGGCGCGAAAACACTGCGGGCAGCCCTTTTCTGCGCCCGGCGGCCATTTTGGAACCGCCGATCAGCTGTTCCCAAAACATCACACTGCGAAGATTGGTAAGTGAAACGCTTACCGATCATCACAATGTGATGTTTTGCCTATTAAAACATCGCAATGCGATCACATTAGCAATCGCAAAAAAACGTGTCGATATGCGGATTCATCGTTAAACGGTGCGCTCGTTAAGCGAGGCACCACTGAATGTGTCTGTATCATGTATTTATTTGTTTCATTTCTAAGCCACCTTTCTCCCAGCTTCTAGTACTTTGATGTCACTTTTACCTGTCGTGGCTCCATCCTGTGGGATGCCGGGATTTGTAGTTTGATGAAGGGCATAGAATTCTTTGCTAGACAGTTCCATTGCAGTTCCTTAAACCGCAGCACAGAATTCTGAATACCTTGCGGGATTACGAATCCCAGGATTCAATCAGGTGGGGCCATGACAGTTCACTGTGGCAACAAAGTCCTGTAACTATGTAGTGTAAATGCACCTTTTTGTTTATGTTAGCTTTCCTTACAGTTGGGATCTACATCTGAATAAAATGTCCGATTTCCAGTAATTCCTAATACACTGAATTAGAAGACGTTGACTCGGTAGGATGTTTTAACTAAGTGATAAAGGCTTGCCCTTCATCCCTACCAAGCTGAGTGTCGCTTCTTTATGGTTATTTCCCTTTTAAACCATCCTTGTGTGTGTGTGTGTTTTTTCCCTGCCTACTTCTGCCTGACGGGCATACATTTTCTTCCAGGCTCTTCCCTTTGCGTGAACCGGGGATGAACTGGCGTGCAAAGATTCTCACGTGCCAAGAAATTGAGGTACTTTTTTGTGTGCTTTTGAAATCTGTTCCCTAGTTTGGATATTCTCTCTTCTCTTTTTTTCCCCCCATTTCTCCATCTGGGTGAGAGAATGTGAATTCAGTGTCTTGAGTGTGTCACACATTCCTGCTGAAGAGGGATCATTCCCAGTTGCCATGTGTGTAGAACCTCAACACCGATCAGCTGAACCCAGAAAGTCCACTCTGTTTAAATGCTTGAATACAGAGAGAGGCAGATCTGTTAGTTTTAGTTTTGATTGAGTTCTGTTTTCTTTCCTCCCCCCCACCCCAACTTTGCAGTCACGGGGTCCTTAAGACAGATCAGAAATCTCCCTCCTAGAATCAGACACATGAGCTCTGATCTCAGAGGATGTGGTCTGATCTTCTATTTCCCCTTCCGGCTGCTGTTGAAAGATCCATGCCCCTTAAACCACCTTCCTTGTATCAGAGATTCCATGTCAGGAAGTAGGGGAGATTAAAGGACAGTGGGAAGACCAGATTACACACTCTTACAGACAATTCAGAGTGCTTCTAAACTTTGACCAACATCGAAAAACAAGCTGGTGTGATTCATGTTGCTTTTGCTGCAAGTGTAATTTTAAAAAATGTTTTTAAAAAAGAGGGGGAGCAGCATCTAACTTCACTGCAGGATTGTCCTAGGGATTCTTTTTTGCATCTGTTGGTCACTTTTTAAAATTTTAGGTCTGTATGCGTTTTTGTGTGGATTTCTCTTCTAACATGCATTATATGCACACATAAGTTTTATACTGAAATATACAGTTTGCTGGAAGTATGGGGGGATGCGTAGCCTGCATCATGAAATTCTAAACCGCCCAGAGAGTGCTCGAAGCGCTATAGGGTGGTATATATCCTGTTTCCCCGAAAATAAGACCTAACCCAAAAATAAGCCTCAGTGAAGTGAAACCCCGCCCTCCACCCTTGTGCAGCAACCAGAAGAAGGTGACATGACTGCGTTTGAATAAACGTCTATTGTTGTACATGAAAAAAATAAAACATCCCCTGAAAATAAACCCTACTGTGTTTTTTGGAGCAAAAATTAATATAAGACCCTTTCTTATTTTCTGGGAAACACGGTAAGCAGCACGCATTGGTTTTTTTACATTTTTCCCTAGCAATTTTCTGTCATACAAATCGGGTTGACCGTTTGTTAATCTGTGCATTTCCATGATATCAGTATTTTATGTACAATATTTGATTGGAGAACTAACATAACAGAATGTGGGGAAGGGTGCAAAAAGGTCATTGTAGACTTTCATTATACAGTGGTGCCTCGCATTACGACGTTCATTTGTTCTAGCGAAATCGCTGTAAAACGGAAACGTCATAATGCGATTTTTAAAAGCCCATAGAAATGCATTAAAACCCGATTAATGCGTTTCTAGGGGCTTGAAACTCACAGTCCAGCAAAGATCCTCCATAGCGCGGCAATTTTTGCTGCCTGTGCGGCGAGGAATCCGTGCCAGAAAAGAGTGGGCGGCCATTTTGAAACCGCTGATCAGCTGGCCGAAAATCATCGCTTTGCGATGATCGGTAAGCTGTTTCGCTTACCGATTTTCACATAGCGATGATTTCCCAACAGCTGATCGGCGGTTCCAAAATAGCCGCCGGGTTAAAAAAACGGCCGCCCGCTGGGTTTTCGTCCGGATTCCTTGCTTACCGGGTAGCGAAAATGGCGGCCATATGGAGGATTTTCGCTTAAGGTGAGGGTTTTGCCCATAGGCGAGCGTCCATTAAGCGAGGCACCACTGTATATGGGTTCCGGGAGTTATATTCGCATGACAGTGTGAATTGAACAAATTTTTGCTATCCTAATTATCTGGTTGTGGCATTTCCCTGGTTGAAATCCTTTCCCGTCCCAAAACTAATATATGTATGCACAGAACATTTCTCGGCAACATTGTGCCACTGCACTAGTCAAAGAACACTGCTTTTGAAAATGAAAACATGTCGGCAAATCGACAAAAAGCTAGATCTGGTACAAGACAGTTCCTTGTGTCCCTCAATTTATAAGGGTGCTTTTGGCTTGCCTTTCTTTCAGGCCTTCAAGAAGTCCAAGGAAGTCATGGAGAGGTTTGTCCGTGCTTACAAGCTCATGCTAGGATTTTATGGTATCAACCTGATCAACGAGGAAACGGGAGAGTTGAAAAGGGCAGAGAATTGGTGTGAGAGATTCGAGAACCTCAACCGGTGAGTTTTCTGCTCCTTGTGACTCCTCTGGGCTGATTCCCTTGTGTGTGTGTTTGTGTGTCCATCCGTCTGTCCCTTCTCAGGCTAGCCCCACCTCCCTCCCTCATTGCCTTCACGTGGAGAGCCATAGTCTGGGAACATGAGATCTCTGCCAGACCTGGAAGAAACAGGGTTTCCAGTCACATGGAGAGGCTGCACGCATGGAGCGTACGGTCCTTTCCTGCCCAGCATTCTCCATGTGAAGAGAGTGACTGTGGCAGGGTGGGACGAGGCAAAAACCTGCTCTCCTTCTTCCTTCAGTAAGTGCCTTGTCGCTTAGCTGGAGCAAGCTGTGAAAACCTTCAGCAAGCACCAGTAGGATTCCGGTCCGATAGGAGCAGAGTAGTGGAAGCAGACACTGGCCGAAATGTTGTTGGCATTATTACACAAAAGGCGTAACTTTTGCAGGTGAATTGCAGTACGTTGAGATCTCTCCACAGGTGTTATCTGTTGCACATTTGAATTACATGACATGGAATCCAGCAGATAACATCTATAGAATAAAGATGGGCACGGACCATGTTTGCTCTGGTTCAGCGCTACACCCAGATAAGTGTTCTGTGGGTGCCCACACTTCCCTCCCCCGTCTCCTCCAAGTAACTAAACCAGAACAGTGCCATGGGTTTTCCTGACCTGCATCATCTGAGTGGATGGTCTGTGCCTTTTGGTAAAATGACTGGCTGAAATCCTGTTTGTTGGTGTAACTGTGCCTGCGGAAGGCTGATGGTGTTACGAGCAGGGCAACATGAAAATGAAACACTTCCCAATTCTGTCCCGTGGCTGTGACAACAACCCCTTTAGTTGTTTTAGAGCTGTAAGACGGGAGGTTTTTAATTACCAGGAATCTCGGGTGCCAGGACGACCTTACTTAATTAAAGACTTCCTCCTCCCACACAATGAAAGGGATTACACAGGAGCCACCGGACAAAAGTAGGAAATGTTTACTTTTCAAAATTGCCCCCTTGTTGATGATGGAATCAGTCTTTTGCAGGCATAGTTACATCAGCAGGATTTTACTCACAATTTTAATACGACTTTAGGACTGTTGCTCACTTTAGAGCTGTTAATTTATATTGCCTATACTGTATATATCTGCTTACCCTCTTTCTCCCCATCTTCTCAGATACAGCCATAACAATTTGCGAATTACTCGCATCTTGAAATGCTTGGGTGAGATGGGGTACGAACACTACCAAGTCCACCTGGTGAAGTTCTTCCTGGCGGAGACCTTGATTCATCAGCAGCTCCCGAGGGTGTTGAGAAGTGCATTGGACTATTTCATGTTCACGGTCCGAAACAAGCAGAGGCGCCAGGAACTAGTCTATTTTGCATGGCAGAACTTCAGACCGAAGCGCGAGTTTGTTTGGGGCCCGCACAAGAAACTCCGGAGGTTCAAGCCTCGGTCCCCAGAGTTTTTGAGCCACCAGGAGCCCAGGAAAGAGAAGGAGACTATGGGTGGGGGAGCCTCTCAAGGCATGGAGAAAGGTAATGCTGAACCCCCAAATGAAATATCCCAGGGGCTGAAGGAGGAGCCTTCTAGAGATGGGGCCGATGAGGCTGTGAAAAAGGATTTGCCAGAGCCATTGAATGAGCATACGACAGACAGAACAACAAGGAATAGTCCGACTGGGCAACCTGGTTCCCAGACCAGCAACGAGCTGAGCTTTCCATCTAGTGACTCCATGATAAACCAGAGTGGTGGGAAGGATCCTACCTCCGCCGTAGAAGGCGATGGATCACAAGGTGGCGATGCTGTAGAATCCCAAGCAAGGCGTACAGTTGAACATACAACCACTTCAGAAGAGGATAGCGTATCTACCCGTGCATCGCCAGCAGAAGTTAAGGAGGAGAAGCGTGGTGATAAAGAAGATCCACCTGTTCCACCTCCTAGGGAGGAGAGTGGGAGTGGCGCAGAGGGCGAAAGTCTCAAGGAAGCCAAGAAGAGGAAGTTGGACATGAGCAGGTTAATGGGAGAAAAGTCAGAGTCGTCGCTCAAAGGCCCTACCGACATTGAGAAGATCTCCTTCAACCTTGAAGAGGTTGTGATTGATCCGAAAGACGCAGGCAAACGTCCACCAGTAGAGGAACAGGTGAAACTGTTGGCTTCCGAAGAAGGCACTGGGGATGGTAGTGATGTCAAGGAGGCTGAATCGGTCAGTGCAGTGATTAAAAGACGGAAGGTAGAAGAGACGGCACCAAAAGAGGGCGTCTCAAAGACACCAGGGAGGGTAGACACAGAGGGGATACCCTTGGAGGGTCAGGTAACAAATTGCTCTACCTCCAGGCTTGAGAGGACCGAGAAAGTCTGCCAAGATGGAATCAGAATAGTTACAGATCATTGTGCAGACGCTTTGACCAGTTGCAGAACTGGAAGTGTGGATTTATTGGCTAATTCCCAAGCTCTGAGCTCTAAGCCTGGCCTTTCATTAGGCGACTCTCGGCCAGACAAGACGGATGAGCCAGAAACTACCTCTGTTATAGAAAACAAGGAGTCTCCACCTCCGGAAACCCAGCCAGCTAGCAAAAGGGAAGTTGATAAACACTCAGGACAAGAAGAGGGAGGCATAGAAAGAAAAAAGGAAGCTGCAACAGAGAGAAATACATCCTCTAAAGTAGAAAAAAGTGAAATGACTACAGGAGGGTCCAAAGAGGAAGAATAGGTGTCCCAGTTAGGGCTGATCCAGCCCTAAAGTTGGGCTATGGGGCATAACTTTTCATAAACAGATTGGGACTGCTGTGTGGATGAGTGGCTGTGAATGTCTGTATATGGTTGGTTCTCTTCATTCTTGTGCAGACAGCTGGCTCTAAAACCAAGGTCTCCAGTTGGTTGTATCAACTGGGATAATAATGGCTTCAGCGTGGAGCCCCAAGTGAAGTTCGTGAATTGTAAACCCGATTCTTTGAATTCTTGAACAGATACTGTTTAATTTATACTTTTTATTGAAATGATTCCACAACAGTCCTGGTTTAAAATAGAAACGGGGTTGGTTGGCTGGGTTGGGGGTGGGGAAATGCTGTTTAAGCTACTTTGTGAACATATTTTCCAACGTTTACTAGATAATCCGAAAAAGTTGTTTTTGTTAAATAAAAATCTAAACTTTTGGATTCAGACTTTCTGTAGTCCCCTTGATTTTTAGCTGGCACAGATCAAACAAAATTGCCCAAATCATCTTGCAAATGTCTCTTGGAGGAAAAGCTTTCTAAACAGCTGATGGATGTTTGTAAATGTAGAAAGTTAAATACTGCTACTGCATTCTTCCTTATACCTTCAGGCTCTGAGTTAGAGCAGAGGATCAGAATTACCGTATTTTTCCGTGTATAAGACGCCCCCATGCATAAGACACCCTCACTTTTCTAACCCAAAATTAAGAAATCTAAGTGGAGCTTAGCAAGTGGAGGGGGGGGGAAAGGGATCAAAGTGCTGCAGAATTGCTTTGATCCCTGCTTTCTCCGTTCGTGCCAAGGGAGATAGTGAGATAAAATGATAATCAATTAGGTAGGCATGCTATGAATGTCTGGCCAGGTTCCCCCCCCCCCAGGAACTATACCAATTCATCAAAATGAAATCGGAAGTGACTGGAAGATCATGTTTCCTTAAAAACTTCTAGATTTAAAAAACAACCCAATATTTGCCAAAAGAAAGTGTAGGGACTGCCAAGATGGGGGGGGGGCTTGCACAGTCATTCATGGTGCGATTTAGAGAAGAAGGGTACCTACCTAGAAATGTTGGATAGCTCAGTGGTTTAACTATCTGCCTGAGGAGCCAGAGGCTGGGAGTTTAGTTCCACACTGGGCCTCTTTGATGGGGGCCAGACTCGATCCATAGGGTCTCTTCCAGCTCTGAAGGCAGGGTTGCCACTTTCTGGAAAGTCAGGGAAAT